CAACATCTTTGTTGGTATGTGGTGCTGAGGATCGAACCCGGGCCGCACGCATGCTAGGCGAGCGTGCTATCGCTTGAGCCACATCCTCAGCCCCTAAGATGATCTTTTCTTGCTTATCAAGAGTTAATTTATGGGTTTTGGATCAGTGGTAGAGCACTTGCCTAGTACAAGCAAGGCCCTGGGTTTGATTCCCAACATTGCAATCAATCAATCAAATAGTTAATGGATAAACTCTAAATGTCCAAGAGACATCTGCACTCTGGTTTTCACTGCAACATTATTTACAATAGCCAAGACATGGGAGCAACCTAACTCTCCATCAACAGATCAATGGATGAAGAAATTGTGATCCAAAGAAGAAAATCCTGTCGTTCACACCAACATGGATGATCCTGGGGGAACTTAGGCTCAGTGGAATAAGCCAAGCACACAAAGACAAACACCACATGATCTCGCTTATTTGTGGAATCTAAAAAACGTTGAACTCAGAGAAATAGATAGTAAAACGGTCATTACCAGCGGTTTGAAGGTTAGCAGTTAAGGAGATGTTTGTCAAAGGTTAGAAACCTTAAGCTGGATGGAAGGAATCCATTTAAGAGACCTATCTCACACATGGAGACTACAGTTCGAAATAACATAGTGCTCAAAATAACTGAGAGTAAATTGTAAGTATTCTCACCACAAAAAAATGATAAGTATATGTGGTCATGCATGTGTGAATTAGTGCAATGTAGCCATTCCATGATGTCTACACAGTTCAAAACATCACAACATTGACAAGATAACTATGTACAACCTGTGTACGTTAATTAAAATAAGTGTATAGTTTTTTAAGTTAATTGGCTTAGATAAGCAATGCTCAGCCTTGAGTTCCTGGAACACCTCCTTTGAAAGGAAAAGATGGGTAGGAAGAGAGACCTGGCTTTCCCGCCACCTAGTGGCAGCTGTGGTAAACTGCAAGCTGTAACCATTACAAGAAGAGAAGAATATTGAATGACTGTGGCCCTGAAAATACTCATCGACAATACAGCCTCATGCATAGCTGAAGAGCAGCACTTAAATGTTTGGAAAGTTGGCTAACATTTTCACTTTGGAAACATAAATTTTAAATTCTAACTGTGGAGATAAATAAAGTAGACACAAGCAACTAAAAATATCCTTTAAGAAGTTGAGAGAGATTCTGGTTAGAAAGAAAAGGAGCAAAAGGTGGTGAGAGAGGGATGCCCGTTTTTCCTGAAGAGTACGAAACTAGGAAGCAAGAAACGTACAGCCTGTGGCTGCAGCCCTGAGGGACAAATGTTTTCAGTCAAGGGCTGGAGAGGGCGTATTTTGGCTTGTGGGCCGTCCAGTCTCTGCTGCAATGCTCAGCTCTCTCATTCCAGTCCACAAGCAGCCATAGCATTATGAAAATGAGTGTGCCTGGCTGTGTTTCAATAAAACTTTGTTTATACAAACAGGCAGGGGGCCAGATTTGGCCCCCAGACTATAATCTGCCACACCCTATTCTAGCACAAGCAAAATTGAAAAGACATTCAACTTAGGAGGAACTCCAGTGAGATTCTCAGAGGGATTCATATAATTCAAATCTTCAGAAATTAAAGCAAAATGAGACCTCAAACCAAGGATCTAGGACTCCACTTAAGAAATCCAGATCTAAGAAAAGGCATGCTGAGCAGAGATGTCCAGAAGATGGTCTACAGAGCCTTTTTACTGTAAATTAAACAATATCAGAGAGACCATCAGCAACTTTAGAGAGAGAGAATGATATACACTCTATTATATGGAAGACTTCCCAGAGAAAAAAAAAATTAGATGTGACT